CAGTGCAGTGGCATTCTTTGATAGATGCTAATTTGCAAAGCAACTATGACATTGAACCATCTAAAAAAATCAGGACAAATCACTCAACAAATTCAACACCACAATTTGGTGTTAGGAACTGATGTTTTCTTTACTGATTTACCTTTTTGGAAAAATGAAACCTACGAAACCTTTTAAATATATTATAGAAACAACTATAAATAGTTGGCTCCAATCAGGCAACAACTTGGAAATTAGTACTATGAAAGGCAATGACTCATATTTATTCAAAGCTGCAAAATAAAGTATCTATAGAAAGCACTTTTTCGCAAGCTTTTGTCAGTATCATCACTTCTCAAACCAATGAAGACTACCATAACAAAGGATCTTTCGAGGGAGACAAATAACGGCATTGGTGTTAACAATAGCTAGAAGAAGAAGTAACCCATACGCAAGAAAAGAACAACGCTCTATCCCCTCTCTCCCCCAATCACGTAATAACAAAAATAAACGAATTCCTAAACCCGTTAATCGTACATTACAAAATACCAATCATTCGAAGACTGAATTAAGCAGTAAAACACAAGATGACTTGCGTAAATCCACATTCAACTTTGTACGCAAGTAGAAAATCAAGAAGCAATTATAAAAAAAAAAGCCCTTAATTCCATACAGTCAAAGGGATTTAAATCGCAATTTCAAGTGCCGCCTCACCCTCTAAGAACAAATGAGATCAAAGACTGAGATCGCAAAACAGAGCAAAACTTTAATTCAGTCAAGAACCTAAGCAAAACCACAAAAGAAAACCATCACCGACACTCAGAGATAAGCGAAGGGACAAAATGAGAAAATCACACACCAAAACGAAGCCATGAAGGAGGGCATTCGCAATGCAGAGAATGAACAGTGCTTGAGACAGCGCTTCGCGCCACTGCTTTGGTCCTTGAGGCTGAGCGCCAAGCAGCTTTTTATAGTTTAGTTTATACTTTATAGTGCGAACGCAGTTTGAATTTGTACGGTCGGGGCAATAATTATCTTTTCACAATTAAGGGTTGACGCGTAAGTATTTTAACGGTCTTGCGTGAATTTTTTTTTTTTACTGCTAATTGCTGATATTGTTATGATTTTAAATTTTGAAGTCAAATTTGTATAATAAAACCTTTTCAGTGTTTAGTAATATAAATTCGTATTTATAAAATAAAATTAGTATGATTTAAAATTTTTTAGACAAATTTCTATTTCTAATATGTTTCACATAAAAAAATTAAAATATATTAATTTTTATTAAAATATAACAATTTTCTAATTTTATTCTATTTAATAGTACATTCATACTAAAAAATTAATAAAATAACTTATAAATAGGGGGAAACTTCTCCCTATAACATAGGGACTTCTTGATGCAAGAGGAGCGACTTCTTGATGTCCAACAATTTTTAATGAAAACTCTCAAAACAAATGTAGCCTTTATTTTGTAAAGTGTGAAAATAATTATTTAAACAATAAGTTTGCGTGCAGAGCCAAGCAGGGTCAGATTTGACACAAAATCCAAGATCCACTCTTAAGGAGCATTGACTTTGGGCTTGAAACTCAATTTGGACCAAGTTGAATTAAGGGAGTGTTTATAAAGATTTGTGATCCCCAAAACAGTGCTTTAATCCCTGAAATTTATTCTAAGAATTGAGGCTACTGATTTTAAATTTTAGAAATCAAAACTAAAAAACGAAACTAAATTTTAAAGATTAAAATTATATGTCAATCTCTATCACCTTTAGGGCTTGAGAATGTTTCCTTAAACTCCCATGGGATACCGTACATAGACTCAAAATCCAATTTTTACTACTTGATTTGAATATGATATTATATATGCTCCTCCAACATAATATACTTTAAGATTATATGATGCTTGATCTAGCACATACAAAGTATAAAATTTATTATTGCGAAATAGTATGCTAAAATTTAATAATCATTTGCACTCATTCAATAGAATCAAATCACATGATGATTATATTCAAAACACTATTCTTCAAAGAAAGATCAACGATAGTATGAGGGGAGCATGAAGAAAAATAACATCATACCTCCGAATGTTGTTGTAATTGAGCCTAAAAAACTTACGATAATGGCTGCTTGCAATCTCTGTGAATCTTAAATAACAAAAATTAAGGTCAGAAAAGGAAGTTATCAGGTAGACAGGTATACAAAAACCGTCACCCTAAAATAAAAAAGATTAAAAAAAAATGTATCGTAACGGTTTTAGCTGACCGCCTACCATTATCATGAATGGAAAGTCAACATGTATCTAGTCAAAATACTCTTATGGATGCATGATATTAATAATATTAATGAAAAGTTACATTCATGCACCAATTTATTATCATTTTTATTATTTTTACAAAAACAATGCATGAACGAGCATGGTATAACCTTTAGTCAAAATGTATATACACGAATCTCTTAATAATATTCTTCTAAAATAATTTGAAAAAATATAGGAAAAATAACAAAAAAAGACAGCTCCAAAATAATAAAAAAATTGCACTTAGAGACTGGTTGATAAAAATTATTATTAAAACCCATACTATTATTGTCAAAACGCACACTAATATTGTCATGGGTTCTTATTTGTAATTTTTTATTTCGACAGTCTTTTTTTTGACATTTTTTCAAAAGTATATGCATGAACAAGCTGAGAATCATTCATGCACAACCCAAAAAACATATTATGTAAAAAATATATATATGAACATGGACAATGTAAAAAGATAAACATTTTTGGCATATTTGTATTTTAAAAGTGATTTTATGGTATATGAGATAAGTATAAGAGAAATTTTGCCTCAACTTACATTAAAAATATTTTTAAAGTAATTGCAGGGGGTTGCCACAAATAGAAATGCGTATACACAGCCATTAACTAAATCCAGGGTCCATGCACCATCTTGTTGGGAAGATTAGTAACTTTATCATCTCCCAAAAAAAAAGAAAAAATCGTATGCGTGTAATGCAAATGTGTAATTGGGATTTGGGAGTGTGTTTTGATATGTTTATGGTTTTAAAAGAGTTCCTTTTTTAAAAAAATTGCAACTATAAATGGAATAATGCCAATAATTATATGGAGTTTGTTTTTAAAATAAAAGGTTTCAAAGTACTCCTCCAGCTTTATATATTTCTGATAAAATTGTTTGTGAATTTGACATATTAAAGATGAACAATGATCAGCCACAATGTTACAAGTACATAGAAACTCCTGGGTGAGGCTCAGGGCATACTTCATTGGAATATACTAATTATATTCATTCAATTATCTCTCTCTTTAATTTTAATGTCACTGACTAGAGATGACAATTTCAACCTATCCATTTCTATTTCCATATATTTAGAAAGTTACCAAATTTCAAAATTTTGCTAGAAAAGATGCATAGAATAAAAAACAGGACTGAATTGTCAGTTTCACTAGAAAAATGATAAACTGGCTAGTGATCCAATTTGGTTTAGGCACAAAACTGACTAAGAGTTAAACAAGTATCAAACTGGTCAAATTGACGTGAATCGGTAAAAACCGGTGTGAACTAATAATGAACTGATTTGAATAATTATATTGCTATTGGTCTTATTTTTTCTCATTCCGCTCCTAATATCTTAGTTATTATATATTTGAATAGATTTTAGTGATGATTTTGATATCAATGATTATTAATTTCAGGTACTGATGAATCATAAATATCAAAAACCTCAATGTTGTTATACTTTATCATTGTTACAATCAAATTATTATCATATTTTCTTGTATTTTGTTATTAGTGATTATCAATATTGTTGCATTATGTTATTTTCAATTAAATTAGTTTATTTTAATATGACCAGTTTGACTCCAAGTTGACACCGATTCGACTAAATAACCCTTAAACCACTACTTCAACCGATTTAGTGTCCAATCTTGTTTTTTGTTCCTTGAAAAGATGTGAAATATATATAAGATTAAGGTGCAAATTTGTCCTGAGAAGTTTCGATGAGGAGCAATAGATAGCCGAAAGTTTTTTTAGGCATAAATTTGCTTTAAAAGTTTAAAATCATTGTAATACTCCTCCGGTCTTTAATATAGAACCCAATTCTTGAGTTGGTTTTGGTCCTAAATATAAGACCAATTTCTCATATTTATCAATTTTCTCTAAATTACCCCTATGGATACTCCCTCAATTATAATCAAGTAGAAGAGGGAGATGTGGTATTAAGAAAGATGATTATGGTGTTTTAGAAAAAATGTGTTACTTTTGTTATAATTAACTAACTTACCTAACTTCCTTAATTTAATCAAATTAGTTAAATGAGTCTTATATTAAGAACCGGAAGAGTATTACCCTTACAGCTAAAATTGTTGATAGTCAATATCACTATTTTACTTGTCAATATTAGTTTTTTAACAGTATAAAACAATGTTGTTATGATTTTAAACTTTTAAATTAAGTTTATATTCAAAAAAAAGTTTTTGGGTACCAAATGTTCTTCAATAAAAACTTCCAAAAAAAGTTTGCAATTTAACCCGATATATTATTATGATTAAAAAACAAATTTAATCATTTGATACATGAAGTTACTTTTTCAAATATGAAATAAGTAGAATGACAGGCTTTCGCAATATGAAGTAAATTTTTTTTTTTTAGCAGTCAATATGAACTGAATTAAACAATATTACCGTAACTTATCTCTAGGTAGGTTGGGATGATCTATCAAAAAGAGTTAAAAAATAAAAAGAAAAGAAATTACGAAAATATTTGTAAGGATGCACCATATAAATATGATTATGAGAAAGCTATAATCTGTCCATTTCCATTCGCAATGCTTAATCCAGTTAATTTGCCTCAGGAAAATGATAAATTTCAGGTAACCAAATTCATGAAACCAACTCTAATGTTATAAAACCTTAGGTCAAGAGATATATATGAAGCTTATTTATGGATTTCCTGATTATAATTTACAAAGAAAATGCAATGAAAATTTCATCAAACAGTAGAGGCTATGTAAACGGTAATAATCATTTTGCTGAAAAAATTGTGAATTCATTTTGCGTATATATTAACATATCAGTAGAGTTGCTAATCAAAATTCAATCTAAAAAAATAACTTTACATCTTCAATCTACTTCAAAAAAAAAGTAGTTCATCCAAAGCAATGAGTATAGCCAGTCTCATGTTATCAGACAAAAAGGAATAAATGATCTTTGACTCACATTTAAAAGTCCAGCCATTTCTGGTAATAGACACAAGTTTTGGGAGAAATGATGCCTTCTGGTGTACAAGCGCTTATTCTTGGACAAACTCCACATGGAATAGAAGCCATGGCACCAATTTTTGGTTCCCCCTTATTCTTCTTCTTGCATCGATAACAAACCCTACCTACAGGAACAGAAGAAAAATCTCCAAAGCCAGTGCTCTTCATTTCGACGATCTCATCGTCCAGAACCAAAGCTCGTAGAATCTGTTCGATTTGATGTGATGACAAATCAACACTAAAGAACTTGCCCTTTTTAATCCACTCCAGAATTCCATCGAGTGTGGCAACATTTTGCGCAAGAATGTGCCTCAAACAAACTTTCTTTACTACCCCTATGAATTCTGTATCAAGATTCCCATCGCTGTACCAATCCCCACCTGTTATTTCCTTGGACGGTTCGAACTCAGAAGCCATGTAGTGCTTCTTTGCTTTGTTATGGCAATTTACGACCTCCTTTACGAGTTTCTTCTGTTGAAGCGAAGTAAGGGCCCTTTTAACCACAGTGTCAGGGAGATTAGTTTCTTGTTTCAGGTCTTTACTCCAGATTCCCATGTCTTTTCTGCTTCGGATGACATTATAAAGGGCATGCTCTTCTTTTGTGAGAGACTCTAATGAAGCAACACCATCTGGCCGTTTTCTTTTAAGGGAAGAAGATCCTTGCATCCTTACAAGAAGAAAAATCTGGTACAATATAAAGAATTCAATATTACTTAAATGAATTGCAAAGTTTTAAAAATAGTTCCAACAAGAGCATTCATTTTGTATACGTCAAATTTAAACAATGAGTCGCTTAGAATATAGGTACAAACTAGTGATTCGGTTTCTGTCAAAACTAATTGTAGATGGAAGCATCATATTCATTATTGCATTCATAGATGATATGAGATACAGAGAGAGAGATTCAAGAAAGACCTAATTATGTACTAACTAATGGATTAAATATTCTAAACTCGATCCACAAAATACCAATCAATCTTCCATACTGTTAGCAGTAAAAGGCGAAAGTAGAGTAAACAGTAGCTTCCAATTCTATAGACACCCAATACGTCATTCCATATCCTATTTATAGACCTGTTACCCCTATCATCATTTACCTAATCACCCTCACCGTTGCTATCACCACATATCACATGTATTGAAAATCACTAACTATGTCAGAAGCAGAAGTCACCCAAGACATTTTTGCAGGCCTAACATCTGCAAGGAAATGCACTGACCAGGAAGAAAGTGCCTTAACTCTCCTTTGTCACTTTCTCAACCTAGTTCTCATATTAGAGTCAGATGGTTTGACATACATTCTCAGGTCAAAAACCATCATGATCGAATTCAACACACCTGAACAGTAATCATGCTATGATCTGTATATATAAATACACACGCGTGCGCGCACAAATAAGGTATGCACAAAATCTTCACCCAATTGCAAGCAGCATATGTGCGCATGAGCGTCTAAACCATATATAAGTGTATATATATGGCTACTCAAGTAAACATATCTAAAATAATCAGTTTCAGTAAAAGTGAAAACCTGTTTCAGAAGCCTAGCCACAATGAAGGAAGTTTTTGGGCTAGAATTTGGGAAAATATGAGATAGTAGAAAAATAATATGTGATCAACGAACATCCATCTTGTTCACTCAATCAAGCAAACCCAAACAAATTCCAACCTGATGGTTTTTTTCCCAGACTAAGAACAATAATAACTAAACAAAAGATTGTAATATTGTTATATTGGACCGGACAAGTGACAACAGTGAATGGCCATCACTTTTACAGTCCAGTGATTTGATTATCCTGAAGTCATCCTCCAAATAGAAACAGAGATCATTCCAACATTGTTAAATTTACGCAGAATTAATATATCAATCAATATATAATATAAAATCTAAAGCAAGACGCAAGATTAATAAGTTATGAATAGTGTGATTTATTCATTCCTTAGACTATACACTGCATGGGGAACATATAAACAAATGGGATCAGGCTACTTATTAAGGTTCCATTAGCAGTTAAAACAGAAAGAAGTTCAGAAAGCATTGAGGATAAGGAGCACAATTCCCCCAGTTAAATTAGAATAAAATATTACGATTCAGCAGTGAAATCAAGCTTCAAACATCTTACTCTGACAAACTATAATTAAACTCATAAGTTTAAGTTGAGCTCAGGAGGCAAAACAAACTTGAGTTTGCATATCCTTCATCTTTTCATTGTTAGCGCTTTAGATACCTGAAGGCTTAAGCGTGAGTCAACCGAGGGCCTAAGTGGGAGACGGAGATCAGAGACTGGAGAAACGCACCGAGAATAATCTTCCAGACTTCCACAATCTTCCAAACACACTGAGAAACTGACTCGCCGAGAAACAATGGAGACGTAAAGGGAGAAGCGAGAGGGAGGACGTCCGGGTCCGACGGAGAGGGAGAGACGAAGAGGGAACGGAGACTGCCTCTGCGAGAGGCGAGACCGAGAGCAACCAGATTCCAAGGCTGACCCAGAGGAAGACAAAGCCAACGAGTTCGTGAGGGACAGAGACGACGCCGAGGAGTTGTGGAATATGAAAGTGAAAGTGCTAGGTTTTTACTCCCCCAGACAGAGGAAGGGGAGAGCGAACTCCCTTGTTTATTCAATCCAAACCGACGATGCACAAAATGCTATCCAAACACCCTTCGAAAACCAAAACCATGGTTTTGAAAAAAGTAAAATTTTTTATTTTTAGAGAAAAAAGAGAGAGTGTGAGAGCCTATAGGATATGTATCTTGTTATTTTTTTTATAAACATATTTTTTTATAAACATATTTAATCTTATATTTTATAAATATATATACATATTAATTATTTATTAATTATATTATCTTATGTATTATTAATTATGTTAATAAAAAATATATTATTAACAATTTTATTTCTCTAAATTAAAATATATCATAAAATCTATTTTTTCTGTAATTATCATATTAACTTATTTCTTTTTTTTTTAGTAATTTGTATATATAAAAAGTGTTTCTGATAACAACTATCCAAACACTCTCACTTCTCAAAATCACTTTTTCATAAAATCTATTCTTTCCAGAATCTATTCTCCAGAATCACTTTTCCAAATTACGGTTTGGTTTCATCCAAACACACCCGACGTAAATCATGGTTTTAAAAGTGTGAAGAAATTTGGCCAAAAAAAAACTGTGAAGAAATTAATTTCGTTTTGCGGAGAATTACCTTTGAGTATTCCAAACACCCCAAGTCCAATAATCATGCTTTCACCCCCCAAAAAAACAAAGGTCCAGCGTCCCATTTGCATATTTTAAAAGCATAGTCATACTTTTACAAAAAACACTTTTACAAAAATAGTTTTCGGAAAAAAGGAACTGAATTAACTTGTCCTGTTTTCACCAACAAAAGTTAGGTCTAGTAAAAATGGTTAGTCTTTCACAATGTGATACCTCAAATAGAATTGTCTCTAATAAGATAATACTTTTGTTTTAGCAAAAAATAAAAAACTTGTCTTGTTTTCGTTGGGCTTAATTGACACATTTAATCAACTATTTGATAAATAGGCTATATATGCATGTATTATTTCTGATTTTTAATATAAGACTCAATTAATTAATTTTAAAAAAATTAAAAAGGTTAAATAGATAGTTTTAAGATATTGTATATATCATTATTCTCCAAACTAATTTACTTGACTTATAAACTAATATATAATCCAATGATATACTATTTTTGGTCCTAATTATTATATATATACTATAATTAAGTAAATTGTTAGCTTCCTTAATTTTTTTTTAAGTTAGTGAAAGTAGTGTATATGCATGTACAGCATATTTATCAAATTGAGTGAATATGGGAATTATTCAGCATCCAATGTTCCAGCTCTAGACGAAGCCCATTTCCAAATCACAATGGGCAAGACCAATGTTTTTTTTTTTTTGCTACCTACCCAGTTTACCGGAACTTTGTTCCGATTATATCTGGATCCGACCCACATCGCGCACCTGGCTGTGGTGGATGAGTCTCCCAACGGGGATTTCTGCATACGCTGAGGCTCGAACTTGAGACCTCGTTTAAGCGGTACCAATCCGCTTACCACTTGGACCAACCCCCGTTGGTTGGACAAGATCAATGTTGAGCCAGTGAATATTCGCCTAAACGCTAAGGACATGTGGGTGAAAACAATTTTTGTTAGCTGATATTTTTTGGCCACACGAGATTACTAACTGATGACTCAAAATAATTTATATATAATAAAGATTAAATCATTAAATGTAAAAAGATTATGAATTGAATTACATATAAGTTAAAAGTTCAGAAATTAAGTTACATCGAGTCATAATTGAAGATTCAATTATAAATAAGTTAACATTTAAAAAATCAAACAATTAATTTTCTCTTTTTATTTGGAATATTTTTAAAAGAATTATGGGCATCCTAAAAAAATTGTTGGGCAGCGTAGCACATAATCTTTTAAAGTTAATAAAATGTCATAATATTAAGTCAATGGTTAATGCAGGTTAGGTGAATTCTCTTTTGGGAAGAATTAGTATGAGTTCCCACAAAAAATATTTAATCTTCAAAAAGTCTCAATAGTTAGTGTGTATCATAAGCTTGCTATTATAGGAGAAATTATCATTGTTATAAGATTTTGGGTGATTAAATTCTTTTCTTGAGAAATGATAATTCGTTTTTTGTCATTTACTTGAAATGGGATGTGTTAATGAAGGGGAAGGAAAGAAGAGTAGAGGAAGGTTGCCAATTTGAATATCTAAATACATGTTTAGGTATCAACGAATTTTTTTCTCTCAATTAAATCATTTAATTTTATTTTTTTTAGAAACATTAATTCTTGCAACTTTACTCTATTCGTATTAGTAGTCTTTGTGTAAGGATTAATAATGTTAACAGAACAAAATTAAAACTTTGATTAAAAGAAAAAATACATAGGTATCAAATAAAAAATCTAAAAAAAGTATAGGTATCTCTAACATAATTTTCTCAATTTTATTTAAACAAATTTTATTCATCACAAAAGAAAACAAAAAGATGACCTTGGCTAGTGACATCGTTTTCAAGTGTAGTTATTATTATTTCTACTTCCATCATAGCTATACAAGCAATTGCTGAACTAAAGCAAAGCATGGCCCTTGCCTAAAGAAGAGAAGCATAGGATAGCCCGATAGCCACCTTGCAAAAGAAAGAGGAAAGGAAAAGAAAAAGAAGAGGCAGAGAACAACCAAAGGAAAAAGAATAAAGTTGAGGGATTTTCATTCAGTCTTATCTATAACTTTTTATTCCTCAACAAGGTGAAGATTAGAACTTTGGAGAATGACGTAAAAGGACCGCAGGAGGAAAAAATTAAGGGAAAATGATATTAAGCTCCCACACAAGCAAATATATAACAAAAAAGTCTCTTGAAATCTCATAATTCTTCTGAAATCCCAAAAGGACTTGGTTGCAATTTTTAAAAAGTTAAAATGACTCTAATGCCTTGCTTATGAGATTCTAAAATGCTAAAAAGAAATTTGAAACCCTCTCGGTGGCTTTGTTCTGCTGAAAATCCATTCAACCCACCGAAAATCTCCCGTCATTGTTAGCGTTGGTGCTATCCTCATTGTCATTTTTCGTTTAAACTATCCCATTTTATATCCCTCGCAAAAGCCTCTAATCCTTCCCTTTCAATCATCAGGAACGTTCTTTCCTCGGAATGATCAGCGGTACTTCGCCTCGTGAAATTCTTCATCACCCGTTTCTCTCTTCGTGGGCATCCCTCTTAAGTTTCTATTGGCTAGACCAAAAACAAAAGCTTTGCAGTATCAAAAATAAAAATGATTTTCTGATTTCCCATTCCCAAACACAATCAATTTGTCAAGAAAAGTAGGAGAGGAAGAAAAGAAAGTTCTAGACTTGAAGATTTGTGGATATTCAAATGGAAGCTTTTTGAAATTCACTAATAGTAATGGGAAAAATATTTCATCATCAATGGCTCCTTCCTTCTTTCTCCATGTCCTTTCTTTCAGCCACAACAGAGCCACTACGCGAGAAACTCACTCAGCATCTTTGTTTCTGATATGCTAGGGCAAGAGAGTCATTTTAACATTTGAAAAATTATAGTCAAGTCTCTTTGGGACTTCAGAAGAATTATGAGATTTTAGAGGACTTTTTTGCCATATATTTGGTTCCGTAGGACTTTAATATTATTTTTCCAAAAATTAATAGTTAAGGATCTTGAATTTATAAAACAACAAAGGCAAAAAAAAAAAAAAAAACACCAGAGTTTAAAAAAAAATATAAATTGACCAAAAATATCTTGTATAGCTCAATTGTCAATCTCATACTTTTAGCTACAAATCTCAACTCAACAACTTAGGTATGAATTTTAGAATATTAGTTGCAAATAAATTATACAGCATAAATTTTAATAAATTTCAAAAAAATTAATGAGAAAGTGGGGAAGCTTAATTAAAACAAGTTAAGAAATTAGTTTTAATAAGTTTTAAATTGTGAAACATTTTTATTAAATAAACTTCTAAATTTTATAACTTAGTTTTAAGAAATTGGGTTAATATAATTTTTTGATTATTTCAATTTGTTTTTATTTTAGTTTTGGTTCCTCAAGCTTTAAATTATAGGTTTTGATACTTCAAGTTTCATTTTATTTAAAACATTATTCCATGTAATCTAATAAAAATTTAGACTATTTTACCCCTTAAAATATCAAAACTTATAGTTTAAAATTTAAGGGATCAAAATTAAAATGAGAACGCATTTAAAAGACCAAAAATTATATTAAACCTTAAAAATTATTGAATTTTGGAGATATACAAAATACCGGCAACTTGTATCTCGTTGCAATTAATTTTTTCAGATGTATAACTGAGTTGATTGCAACCTCGTTTCTAGAAATTATAAGTTGTTATTGAATGTATATTTTTTCCATTTATTTTTATTTTTACAATGATTTTTTAATCATTTCACAAATTTATTGTCTTTTAGGGCATTGTTGTAATTTTATGGGTCATTCCCGGCCATTTCCCATCGAACTTTGCCCACTTTTTTCCCTTTTTTTTTGTTTACTTTATCCCTACTTTTCCAACTACTCTTTCCCTATTGGTCTGTGTTGAACCATCCGTCACCGATTCGTCAGTTTAGTTCATTTTAATTTTCTCGCAAATTTTTTGCTTGTTTTTTCTTTCGTCAAACTCGTACGGACGGATATTCCGCTGAATCAAAAGCTCCTTGTTATTATCTCTGGAAGTACGTTCGGATCTGGGATGGGTTTGATGGATTTTATGTGCTGAATGATGGTGGAAATGATTTTGTGTTGAAGTTCTTGATTTTGTTCTGTCTCATCCTTTGGTTCAATTTAGTGCCCTAAATCGGATACTATGAGGAAGAAGCTGGATACTCGTTTTCCTGCTGTGAGTAATTTCTGCTTCGATTTATAATTTTTGTTTATCTTTTGTCTGTGTTGTGTCGTTTGGGAGCTTTGGCAGCCTTGGAAAGAGGATGAAAATTCGCCGACGTTTGTAGAAGATTCCGATCTTGGGCTGAACATAATCGAACATTTTTGAGTCGTGGGTTTGAGTCACAAGTATTGGCATGATTCGGATTCACTGTATTTTCTAGGTTTTCATTGCTTAGTACGGTCGGAATTGTGAATTCAAGTGTATGGGTGTATCGTCGGGTGTCGTGGAGCTAAAAGATGCTATTTTTAAACTTTTCAATAGGTTTGAGCTCTGGGATGTGATTTTGCATTGCGATTAGTTGATGGTTCCATCAATTGAGACTTCCCTGGCCATTTTGAGCCAACCTGTGTTAACTATCCTCTCCTTGAAAAGTATCCTTGAAAATTAGGTTTGAGGTACATGATTTTCAAATCTGTAACGTTAGAGGTAGGACTCCCGTTTCTCGTTTAGAATTTTTGTTTAGATTATTAAGAGCTAATGTCTTCCGTTTGAACTTAAGGTTTTGTCTGATTTGGTAGCTTCCTGTGACATCAGGGTGATTGATATCCAATTACAATTCCGTTCACCACTTATCTCATCTCACACTGGGAAGATCATATGTTAACACCGCTTTGTGGCTCATTCCATTTCTGATACGTTATAGATATTTTGTATATGGCAGTTACAGCCATTATGCTTTTCCAGCGTGCATATTGTCTTAAATGAATGAAATACTTGCGATTGCTTTATTCGATAGCCTTCTTGTATGCTTACTTCATTAGAGATCTGAAAGGAATAGATTTTTCCTTATATTTCTCGAAGGGGGAAAAGATGGTTTCTACTGTAAGATGTTAACTATGTTTTTAGTTGAAACCTTACTGTAAAGTCCTCGTCTGAGGTGTTATAATATAGTTTAAACTTTGCAGAATACTTCTACTTGTCTTATAGTTTATAAGGAGCAAGATATTATAAAGTAATACTTTTTGTGATGAATTTATGTAAACATTAATTTGCAGGCTCGGATCAAAAAGATAATGCAAGCAGATGAAGATGTTGGGAAGATAGCACTTGCAGTGCCTGTTTTAGTTTGTGAGTTAATTTGAATACTGGCTAATTTCTTTAGGCTTCCATTTGATTCTGTGTAGATGTGGGTGTGGTTGTCTGTTTTTGGGGTTTATCTGTTTTGTAGTGATGATAACTTCTAACATTTTGCAGCTAAGGCTCTAGAGCTGTTTTTACAAGACCTCTGTGATCGTACATATGAAATAACTCTTCAGAGAGGAGCAAAGACGATGAGTGCGTTGCATTTGTAAGTCTGGGACCATCATGATCTGTGTTATTTTTATTTTTTGTTTAACATTCCAGTGAATTTGAACTAACCGAATAACATAGCAGTGTTGATAATATTATTCAGTTAATTTTCTTGTCCTTGAATTTAGTTTCTGTTGTTGCTTATAGTTATAAAATAAACCAGAGATGTCTTGATGCTGTATTATACTTATTATTGTCAAATCCGTATAATTGATAAATGATGTTTTAGGGTTATAATATTGCTGAAGTATTTGGGCTTCATGGTGCCTTTGCTTATTTGGGTGTATGGTACTTTGTTAAACTTCCTTCTCCTTTTATGTTGTGTGACAAAATTAAAAGTATATTTACACCCTCTTGTTTGACCTGCCACAATCTACTGTTTTTCTGTCTGGATGCTGCAGTATTCTGTAGTTTTTCCTCTATCTGTTGTTTTGACAATCTTCTTTTCCCCTGTTTTCCTCATTATGCTCTTTTACACTGCAAATTGTTGAAAGTTCAATTTCTAATTAAGATACTGATTTGCACAACTTTCTTTTCAAATGTTGTGCACTCAAGAAAGATCAACCTCACACGGACACATTCGCCTCTGTAGAGTTCGCAAGTGGATACCAACAAGAGGGTGTTATTTGATTAATTGACATAGTAAAACTATTCATACTAATGGTAGATCAAAATTGAGGCTTATTATGTATATATGCAAACGTTATTCCTATTGAAGAAAGTCTCCCTTTTCTAGAATACGCATGTAATATTTAGGACGTGAATATTTATGGTATGGTAATGCTTCTCCTTTTCCCCTCCCCAGCTCATGTTTTTACTTTAACATATATTACTAAATCCATAATAACCGGTGTAAATCTGAATTGCAGAAAACATTGTGTACAAAGCTATAACGTCTTTGATTTTCTGAAGGATGTCGTCAGCAGGGTTCCTGACTATGGCCATGGGCATGGGCATGGGCATGGACATAACCATTCTGAGACTGGCGCTGATGATCGGGTCATTCCAAGAAGAAGGTATGAATCCACTCACATTTTTCATCTTAAACTTATGATTTATCTATGCCTTAAAGCGTTCGGGTATCTTAATAATGCTATTCTAAACCAGGAAAGCAGCAAATGATGATCACCATGATAGCGATGACGACTCTAAGAGAAGCAAGATGGTAATCACACTTTCCTTGCTAGTTGCATCCACGTGCTTGCTGATATATTTACTTCCTTTCTTTTATGTTGACATGTTTTTTTCTCCTGCATATGTGCATGTATATGGTTTACTGCAGGTAAGATTATCTAAGTTCATTATAAAAACTGATCTTAGACTCATTATTAAACCTTCTGCGTTTATATTTATGACCAACTTTTGCCTTTCTTAACGTAAATGTGTTTTATCCAAATTTGTTATGGACAAAGAAACTTCCTTTATCATTGCACGTTTCTTTTCTATGAGAATTTAATTATGCTTCCTTCACACAAGCTTTCACCTAGTACATGCATTTTTCACTAATGATTTCATTCTTTCAAATTGTATCATGTCTGATTCCTATGTGCATGAAGGCAAAATTTCTTTCTCTTGCTCAACAACTGTTATTTTATGTGTCATTGGTCATTTTATGAACGACAATACAAACTTATGGTATTGAAGGACGTGTCTTGCAATTGGTCATTTTATGAACGACAAGACAAATTTATGGTATTGAAGGACGTGTCTTGCAAGTAAATTGCTTAATGTCTGGCTGTCTCATAATCTAAAACTTGAATATTTTCTTGGGGATTAATTATGTTTTTCTTTTATTCCAGGTTGAGTTTAGCCAGAGTGGCGGCAGTGGTAGGGGGAGAGGCCGAGGTAGAGGGAGAGGCCGAGGTCGAGGGGCTCGAAATGCTGAACGGGAAAGAGAGGTTCATCAACAAGAGCTTGAAACTGAACCCTGCACTTCTGCGCTGAACAGCAGCAAACATAACCCTGATACAAACGTGGCAATTGATAATGGTTCAGAGACAAAGGAGTTACCGAAAGAGAATAATGCAATTCCTGATGAAGGCACTCAATCTGTCCGTAACATTGATCTGAATGCCAACTTGAATGAAAACGAAGACAAAAATGCTAGCACGGCGGTAACTGATGCCCCTATGCCTGATCCTCCAAAACCTGAGACTAAGCATGAGGAAATCCCTGGCTGGTCTCTTTCGGATATGGACAAGATGGTCATTGACTCTATGCAGCTTGCCAACCTTGGTAGACAGATAGAAGAGGATCAGGAAGATTATGATGAAGAAGGGTGAATATTGACCTCTTCTGGGGAACTGGATCAAATGGAAAAGTTTATAAAAATTGCATACCAATGCTATTATGACTATCCATTAGATAGCTAAACATGCTCCTAGCTGTAGGTCCCAGGATGATCCTAATCCTTGTTTTTTTTTTTCTGGTTTGTTTGTTTCCTATAATCTCTTGTAGCAAATATAGCTATATCTATTAACCAAAATGTTAGCTTTGTGTAGTTACAGGTCATGTATGAATGTAGTTGTGGAACAACCTTGCCTAGTGCTGAGTGAAACTCAGAGCTTAACTTTGCAATATTAGGATGTTATATTGTTAATGTCTTGAAGCTGTATTAATAACAAATGGATAAAATGTTTTACTATGTGGTATTGATATCAAGTTTTTCAATAATACTGATAATTGGAGATAATTTTAAGTATTTTCAAATGATTAAGTCTCTTGAAAATTATATTTTTTTTAGTATGCTTTCATTGAAAAACTTGATATCAAATCTGTACATGAAATGAGAAGTAATTATCGTTTCTTTGTGAATGTGCTTGAAGGATGAATTTAGACACAAACTTCAATTCTATGTAAGATGGTGATCTTAAATGAAAAAGTCAAGTGCAAGTTAATAAAGTAAAAGGTTTGTTCTTGAAAAGAATAAGAATTACCTGTAACTGTGAGGTTTTAATAATTAGAAAAGTTTGGTTAATTTGTTAAAAGATCGTATAATTAGTTAAAGATCATGGGTGAATAAAAAATAATTTTTTGAAACTTGCAGGAGATTTTTATACTCAGGACGAGAGAGTATCTAAAAAGCGAGTTCTGCTTATATTAATTTAACTTGTTACTTGAATAATACTTTTACAGAACATGATTTATGAACTTTCCAAATTTAATACAGCAGTGGAGAGAAGACAATTGTCTTGCATCAAATTTCTCTTTATTTATTTTTTGAGTGGACTCTATTTTAATAAGGACAATAATTAGGACAAATTGCTTGTATTCATTATTGTTAAGTTCTCCAATCACAGGTGACCAGGTATTATATTTTTAAAATATTAACATTTAATGTTATTTGATTATAAACACATATAAAAACAATACAAAACACATATCCATGTGTACTTGGAGAACTTGACATAATAAATATAAGTTACTTAATCTAAGTATTTTCCTTTTAATAATTATTAATCACAACTGCCCGAAGTTGATATAAACGCCCTCCGCCGTAGTGGAGAGAAGCCAATTGTCTTTATACTAACGTTTGGTCGATAACTTTTCATACATAAAAGAACATTTTGAAAGTAAAATGCTGAAACAGATAGTACAAAGAACTAAAACACCCAAGAAACTAGAATTAGTTGGCAAAGCACAATAAGAACTATTATACTATTATTAATACATAGATCATAAGAGTGGTATCCAAGGACGTTTTGATTCTTCTATAAAGTATACGACATCACCACACACAACTGATAAAAAGCAGGAATAGAAAAACATCCCTCATCATTACCGGAGACTCAGCTTCAGATCAAGAGTGATCTTGCTCCATTTGATTCAGATGGTACCCACCCTCATTGTTCTGGTGTACCTCAGCCTTGAACTTCTCTTCCTTGCCTCCTCTCTTGACCTTCAGGAGCAAGTTGAACTTGGCAGAATGATCAATGACCTGTTTAAACAAGTTCACAAGATAGTGACTGCCTATGGAAATACCAAGTTTTGCTATTGAGGAAAGGAAGCACCCCGCTTTCAGAAAAATGATTGCCCATCCAACAGTTAAACCTCCAAACAACCCCCCCACCCCCGGGGGGGGGGGGGAGAGAGCCAAATCATCAGAAAATTAGACAGGAGTGCAACTTGCAAAGCCATATTAGCAAGTTATAAAAGAGCTTGTAAGAAGTGACGCAGGCAGACTGCAGGTTTCTCTTCTAAAGGGTGCGTGATTTTGATTACCAAGTTCACTTTTTTAAAAAAGCCGTTGCCTTGTATCTAGAACTTCAGAGTTTTTCACTGAAGATTGACTGAAAGTGCAAATAGAGCTGAACCAAAAAATGTTCAATGCAACATTCTTGCTAGGGATCCAGTATTAATTACACAGCAGTAAGATATAAGTCTGACCAAGAAAGAAAAATGCAATATCATCCACCATGCATAAATTATGATCGACATACACAAGACGGGGGACAAAACATAAGAGCATAGTCACCTTTCAAAAGATATCATATAAAACAACATATAAAAGCAAACAGCATATTCTTGTCAATTTGAAAATTTTATCACGTAACTATTATACTCCATGTATCGGTAAATTCCTCCTGAGTTACAACCAACCAAGTTATCAGAAGTCTCTGTTTAGTCTCAGATATTAGGTACAAAGATAAATAACTCAAAGTATAACTAATACTGCCCAACATAATGCCAAGAACAACACACTGAAAGAAAGCATAACCATTTTCAGCAAAGTTTCAGGTAAACAAGCGCACGGCAATAGGCTCATAATCGCCAAAGAATATAAGGTATTGAGCACTCAGAGAAGATGAAAACTAAATCTAAAAACAGTTTTTGAGAGCTAGAACAGTGACAAATTTTCCTATAATAACACAAGAAAATCCAGAAAATTTTCTTGCAACTTGATCTGCTTTCATCCCAAAAACCAATAATTCATTATTTTATAGCCCTTCAATGCTGAGCGTCAGATTACAACCAACAGTTCGCCTTGAAACAACCAAGTGACATCAGTAAAGCCCTAAGGAAAAAAAAAACATACAAAGAAATTTAAAATGATACGTATAAAGGCACTGACCTCGGCTTTTGCATCAACAACCTCATGAAGCTCATACGGCAGTAATGAGTTAGACCTTTGCTGGAGGGTCTTGACAGCATGATTTGCAGCATCCTGAACTTGAGGATCATGCGCTGGCACTGTTTGCCATCCAGTTTTATGGCCATCTGAAGACAAAATAGGTCAGCAGATCAAGATAACAATTAAATCTGAGGTTCATCTGCTCCATAAGAGAATCGTCAGAAAGTGGCAACAATTAGAAAGGCAGACAACGTAGTACTTTACACTGAAATTATCATACAAGTTTTTAACCTTGGAATGCCTATATGTACTAACATGACTGAGATTGAAAATCCAACATAGGAAAACCACCACTGTCCAAGATGGTTGCAAATCAAGGGCCTTCATCCTGAAAGCCTATTTCAGCATTTGCCACGGAATATTAGTCCTCAGCGTACTTAATCAAAACCAAGAGCACTAACTCTGCACTAACTCTTAATGCAACTACAAGCATCAATATTTTTCATATAAATTTATAAATTCTAGCCCAAATGATATTGCATTTCTTTGCAGAACCATGTCAAATTATTGTTACACTATTAAATTTTTTGAAATAGGAACTAATCAAACACAAGTTTTAGAACGTCAGTTCACTAATTTTATCAAGATCCTGTATAATTGATTTAGAAAATGGCACACCTGTTTTGACACCAAGGTCTGAACTGGTAAATGCCGCAACATCACCAGCATGTTTGAACTCTTGAAGTTCTTTGAAGTTCAACCAGGGTTTCACCCAGATCTTGGCCTCATAAAGCTTTCTCTTGCCAGCATCAACGGCCTCAATAGTAAGATGATGCAGTGTACCAGCAACAACTTGTTCCTGTGCCTTCACTACCCTCGCAAACTCCAGTAGTGCGTTCTTCAATCAACACCATGAAAGACCATTACTCAATTCCATACAAAAGGTTTGCATTTTGAAGGGCAAACATGAGAGGACAGTCAGGAAGAAAACCAAATTAAAAGGGAAACATGTAAGACAAACACAGAACTCCCCAAACCACTTCATAGGTACGTAAATTAAAGCAATGCATGATGCTCGGAGAGCTCCCAAAAGAAAAATAATCAATGCATGATATCAGACCTCTCTCCCATCCGAATATACCAACTCCACTAATTTCTCACACTCATTGAGCGCGCGCGCATATATACGCATGCAATCACAAAACAAACACTTCAAGTTCACGCCCCCTAGTGGACCCAAGGCACGACACGTGAATTGAATAATCAAACCCATCGAAACTGACCAAAAACGAAACATCTTTCCTTCTGTTCCCCAAAAAATCAGGGGTTGTGTTAAAAAAGAAATCACCAATCGACAATCAAACCAAAGTGAAACTCCCACTGAAATCTTATGTAAAAAGGACAATCAAACCTCTTTCTTGTTGTGCTCCTCAACAGCGAAACGTGCAAGGCCTTCAATCTCGGCGCTGTTTTGAGCACCTGGGGAATCGTGAACACCTCCAACCGTGGCCATTTCAGGGCGATCGTAATCAGAACAATCTGCCAGGGATGGTCGAGCCAGAAAGAGGAAGAGGAATACAAATAGAAAAGAGAATGATGGAATCGAAGAAGAAGAAGAAGAAGAAGAGCGAAGGAGTAAGGAATTTTGTGCTTTCATTCGCTTTCTTACTTAAGAAGGCTTCGGTTTCACGCGCCCACAGATGGTCTCGCTCTCGCTTCGCCTTCCGAACGCTTTCTCTCTCTGTCTGTGATCGCCACGAGTAGTTGAGTTTCGATACGCGTTGGGATCCTGTTTCGAGGCGGTTGGTCAGGGGTTGAATAAACGACATCGTTTTACATATCCCTATAAATATCAATGCGCCATTAGAAATTTAAAAAAAATTATAACTTTTGTCATCAATATAAGAGTTTGTTTAATTTTTATTTTGATATTAATTGTAAGATCTCAATACACTTTGTTTCTCATATTTATTTATTTATTTTCAAAGTACTCTTTATAATAATAGTAATTCTGGTTAATATATTGAGAAAAAGACAAAAAAATGCTAATTTAACTTCAAAATGACTAGAAAGTCCACTAAATTCGCAAAATGCCATTTTGGTCACATGAGACCAAATTGGTATTATCAAGTCAAATAAAAAGACCAAATTACCTTTCTTTTTAAATATTGTTTTAAAACTATCACAGTCCCATTAGCCGACAATTGGTCACCGGAGCTTCGTCGATCAGAATTTTTTTTTAAAAATTTTTACAAATTCAGCATAACGGTTAACAACTTTTGTGATGCTATTAACAACTTTAGTATAACAGTTAACAACAGGTTTTCTGGAAAATTCAACAAGCTCTGGCGGCTAGAAATAAATTTTTTGAAAAGTTTTACAACTTCAGTATAACAGTTAACAACTTTTGTAATGCTATTAACAACTTCAGTATAGCAGTTAACAACAAGTTTTTGGAAAAATTCAATAATTAGACGCCGGAGCTCCGGCGACCGGAAACAATTTTCTTGAAAATTTTTACAACTTCAGTATAACGGTTAACAACTTTTGTAACACTATTAAACACTTCAGTATAGCAGTTAACAACAAGTTTTCTAGGAAATTCAACAAGCTCCGGTGGTCGGAAATAATTTTTTTGAAAATTTTTAACTTTAGTATAACGGTTAACAACTTTTGTAATGTTATTAACAACTTCAGTATAGCGGTTAACAACAAGTTTTTCGAGAAATTTAGCAATTGGTCGCCAGAGCTCTGACATTTTTTTGAAAATTTTTACAACTTCAATATAACAGTTAACAACTTTTGTAATGCTATTAACAACTTCAGTATAGTGGTTAACAACAGGTTTTTGGAGAAATTCACCAATTGGTCCCCAGAGCTCTGACCGTCGAAAACAATTTTTTTGAAAATTTTTACAACTTTAGTATAGTAATTAACAACTTTTGTAACGCTATTAATAGCTTCAGTATAGCGGTTAACAACAGGTTTTTGGAAAAATTCAACAATTGGTCGCCGGAGCTCCAGCGGCAAGAAACAATTTTTTTGAAAATTTTTACAACTTCAGTATAACGGTTAACAACTTTTGTAACGCTATTAACAACTTCAATGTAGCGGTTAACAACAAGTTTTTCGGAAAATTCAACAATTGGTCACCAGAGCTCCGACGACTGGAAACAATTTTTTTTGAAAATTTTTATAACTTCAGTATAACGGCTAAAATTTTTGTAATGTTATTAACAACTTCAGTATAGCAGTTAACAATAAGTTTTTCAAAAAATTCAAAAAGTAGCATTTTTACAACTTCAATAATGTCGTTAACAAGTTCTGTAACGCTATCAACAACTTTAATATAGCGTTTAACAACAGGTTTTCTTAAAAATTCGAAAAACTGGCATTTTTATAACTTTAACAACTACTTTTTTTGAAAAATTTTACAGTTTCAGTATAATGGCTAACAACTTTTGTATTTCTATTAAGAACTTTCATATAACAGTTAACAACAAGTTTTTGAGTTTGTTAACGGCATTACTGAGGTTGTAAAAATGTTATTTTTTGAATTTCCCGAAAAATCTGTTGTTAACCGCTATACTGAAGTTGTTAATAATGTTACAACAGTTGTTAACCGTTATACTGAAGTTATAAAAATTTTCAAAAAAATTATTTCAGCCCATCGGAGCTTGTTGAAATTTTTAAAAAACCTGTTGTTAACTGCTATATTGAAGTTGTTAATAGTTTTACAAATGTTGTTAACTGTTATACTGAAATTGTAAAAAATTTCAAGAAAATTGTTTTCGACCGTCGGAGCTCCGGCGTCCAATTATTGAATTTCCCTAAAAATCTGTTGTTAATCGCTATACTGAAGTTGTTAATAGCATTACAAAATTTGTTAACTGTTATACTGAAATTGTAAAAAAATTTAAAAAAATTTACTTCCGGCCGCCAGAGCTTGTTGAATTTTCTAGAAAACCTGTTGTTAACTGTTATATTGAAGTTGTTAATAGCATCACAAAAGTTATTAACCGTTATGTTGAAGTTGTAAAAATTTTTAAAAAAAAAATTCTGACCGACGGAGCTCCGGTGACCGACCGGCCAGTGGGGCTGTGATAGTTTAAAAACAATATTTAAAAGGAAGGAAAATTTGGTCTTTTCATTTGACATGATAATGCTAATGCCAATTTGGTCTCATCTGACCAAGATGGCATTTTGCAAATTCAGGACGTTTTGGTCATTCTAAAGTTAAGTTAGCATTTTTCTGTCTTTTCTCTAATATATTTGATTAATAAGAATATTTTTAAAAAATAATATTTATTTGTTACAAATAGCTAATTTAATTAGTTTTTTAATTTACTCAAATTAGTTAACTAGCTATTATATTAAAGATTGAAAGTAGTAATATTGATGTTAAATTTTGATTTTCTTGCTTGGCGAAAAGAAATTGATTTTCTTATGGGAGAAATACAATCCTATAAAAAAAATACTAAAAATTCTCAATAAAAAGTAAAAAATTATTATTTCTTATTCTAAAATATTAAGATTTTATGGGAATTATGTTTATTTTCTGAGACTTTTTTTTTTTTGGGTTTTTTAACCGCAAGTGCTTACACTGTAGTATTTGTATGAGTGGTTCCCAAAACTTGGGGGTTCGAAGGAGAAGAGGAAGGAACGATCGAGTGAAAATGCGGCCTCATCTCTTTGCAGCGAATCGTTGCTTACTTCGTCTTCCAGCGCTGTTTCGACCTTACAACTCCGTTCTCCTTTCTCCGTCTCGTCGTATTCTTCTCCGAAAATCCAATCCTCAGATTCTCTCTCAAAACGCCTCCTTCTCCTCCCGTTTTGTTCGCAACCTGTGTGTCCGCGCCACCAATGTCAACGACGCTGGCTCTATCGATTCGCCTCTCATGCAGTCCATGGAAAAGAAGGTGTTTTTTCATTATTCTTGCATAATTTTCTTTCTTTTCACCAATACATGGTTACTGACAAAAAAAATTTCTGGTCAAAGATCTTAATCCCTGTTTTTACATGATACTATTAATGGTTTTTTTTATTTTCTGCCATGTAATGGATGAGAAGTTGACCCGGGCAACAGTTCTCTAGCTGCTACGTTGTTAGATAGTCAGTTTTATTGACTTGCATTTTAACCTGTGTGGTAGGAATATGAGATGTAGTGCTGCATAATAGTGTAATAGGCAGGGAGGGAGAATGACTATGTGGGTGTCTGGTTCCCAAATAGCCAATCAAAATTAAGGAAGCGATTGTAATTTGCAAATGGTGAGCTTGTAGAAACCTCAAATGGTTGCTAGTAGTCATTAGCCTTTATGTTGTATTCATTATACTTACATTTCCTTTATAATTTTTTCTTGCAATTCCTCTTAGAAGCTTTACCCTCTTTTTATCCTTTTATTTTATAATTTGCTCCTGAGAACGTTAGTGACACAAAATGACATGTTTATTGATTTTTTTTCTTTTTTTAATTGGAAACTTAATTCAACAGATCAAGGATCATCTCAATGCAGAATCAGTCTCTGTAAAAGATGCTTATGGTGACGGTCGGCATGTTAGGTGAGCTTTAAAGTTTATCTTACAGTTTAAATTCAGTCTGGATTTATCATGACTGCTGTCAACTTTATATGCTTTTGTTTTCTAAGCTCCTAGTTTAGTAGAAATCTTTATTGGATAGGGACTAAACAAAAGGTTCACAAGAAGCGCGCAAGAGGACCCTGGACGGGAAAAGAAAAACGAAAAATAGTAAAGTAGAAGATGGGCTATGGAGAGCCGGTAACCTTGGACATTGAAATTTTCAGAGGGGACAAAGATTTAAAGATATCTACAAAAGAAATCCGTACAAAAAAGAACAACTTTGTATTGTTTGATGCAAGCATACAACTTCATGTATTTAATGGATACACAGACTCAACTGTTATAAAAAAATCAAATCAATATCATCCAGTTAAACTCAAAATTCCCAATTGAAAAATTTTTGTTGAAGAAAAATGGTGGAAAAAGTTAACTCTAGGTATAAATTTGAAACTTTTTGCCAAATTTAGAGTCTTAAAGAGTATTTTACCCTACAGAGAAGCATGAAACTTTCTGTGGGAAACGTGTATTTGGTATAATATCTGAACAAATGTCAAGTAACTTGGACAAGATGCCATGTTTTGTCATATCATTTGCAATTGGCACTTGGCTGTGATAGGATTTTAACAACTTTAGGTCTTTGTTGCCTTCTGTTCCAGCTTATAGGTTTCAAAATTATATTCTTCTTTACTATAACTTACAATCACAAGTGCATGCTTTTTAATTGCTTGGTATATCATTGAAAGCCCATTTTGAGGAATTTGGGGTTGCTGCTGTACTCCTTTTTGCCACATACACTGGCTTTACTGTTAAAAGATTTGTCAAGATCCATCTAACGTCAGCATTCCCAATTGAAAATTTTTAATTTCACCATAATCTTTTTCTAAAATTCCCCAGGGAGCATCAAATTTGAACTTTTGGCCCAGATTTAGGGGCTCAAATTGTATTTGCTTTTGCACAAGTATGAAAATCTGTGGAATGCATGCTTTTGGCATGTTATCAGAGCAATTATCAAGCCATTTAAACAAGATGCCATGTTTTGTAATGTCAGTTGCTATCAGAATAACCCTGTATAAGAAGGTTGTCTAATATCTGCATAGTTGTCTGGATCTTGAACCTGATTGTAAGGTTGTGTAATCGTACAATCCAACCAATAGAAACTTTATGAACTTTGAGCCTTTTGTAAGTGACGGTTTTCGTTGTAATGTTTGATCAGATTTTGGCACATGCTTGTTCATGAACGTCATGCAACTACTTATTTTCTTCAATTTTTTTTTTTTAATATAAATGGTGGGATCATATGATCTTCAATCTGATCATACGGTTCGATAATTTTGATCCGTTGGCCAATTCCATACAAAATCTTGATCTTAACAACTATTGGCATTATTGATTTTGCAGTATTGAGGTTGTGTCAGCTGCCTTTGAGGGACAATCAGCAGTGAATAGGCAAAGGATGGTGTACAAAGCCATATGGGAGGAGCTTCAGAGCACAGTTCATGCAGTTGATCAGATGACCACGAAAACCCCTGCTGAAGCATCTCAATGAAATGATAAAACCTCATGAACACGCCACAAGCTTATATAAGATATTGTCCCTGGTACAAGTACTTGTGCTCATTATGGATCTTTATGTTGCTGTTCTCCCATAATGAATTTTGAATCCCAAACCTAAGTTATTGTTCTAACCAAACGTCCATCACCCAGCTTGTGTGCACTTGTGCAAATAATGCACTTGATGAGGATAGACTTGTGGTTATTGCAACTCATTTTTATTTGTTTTATGAACTCAGTCCTAAGAAGTATTTGAGTATTGAATAAAACTTAATTTCTTTTAAAAATGTCTTGAAATCACCATCGGGTTCGTATAAAAAATTTAAAATATTTTTAATTAAAAATAATAATATTATAATACTTTACAGATACGTATCAAAGAAGTATTAGCACGTATTCTATCAGATAGATATCGACATGCATTTGCTAGGCAATTTTAAGTGTCGGTGCTTTTTAAGTGGGGAAAAAGAATGACATACGGTCACAAGAAAAGTGGATAATATATTGAAACAAAAATTGTGATAGTCTGCAAACAAGGACAAGTCAGTAGATTTTTTTCCCTCACCAATTTGATTTTTTCAGAGAAAAGGGGAAATATTATTTACAACTTGTTATAAATTTTATAGATATATAGGGATGGAGAAGAACCGTTAGCAACTATTTCTCTAGTTAGTAATTGACTAATTTCTTTCTTCCAACTGTACAGAATGCCTTGGCCAGATATAATGGCAAATACTTCACAATACCTCAGACTGAATATGTAAATAAGCTAGTATGTACACATACGCACACCACTGATCACTTCCCGGACCTTTTTTGAAAAAAAATATTAACATTATCTTGTTTTTTTAAAGTGTATCTAGCACTCCAAAATATTAGGTAATACATCCAATATCTCAAAATATTTTTTTTTCATATGTATCTAATATCGTAAATTATTTTTTTTAGGTACATTTAGCATCCTAAAGTATTTTTTAATACACTAAAAAATGTCTTAAAAAAATACTTTAAAATGATAGATGCATTAAAATATAATTTAAATACTTAATACACCTGAAAAAATACTTTGAAGTGAAAGATGCATTTGGAAAAATACTCCAAAGTGCTCACCTTAATCCCTTTTTTTTTTGCCAGCACATTTTTTTCAGTTTATGTTTGCAGGCATTTTTCTGCGATACTTCCCCCCCCCCCAAAAAAAAAAAACCGTTACTCTCTTTCATCAATCAAAAGGGATCCATAGAAAGTCCCTAATAAACTCGTGACGTTTCCATCAACTTGTATGGTTATTTAGTTCCTATCCTGAATGCAAGTCAATCGACATGAAACGCAAGCAATGTCAAGGGACTGTTTGGTAGCACATAATCCGAACTATGGGATTAAAAATGAAATGAAAAACATTAAAATCCCTTGTTTGATGCACTAGAAGTGGCCAGTGGGATTTTCTTGGCAGAGCCACTGTCATCAAAAATGTAAAAGTTGGCTCCATTAGGGTAGCATGAGAATCCAAGACTCTTTCATGAAAACCAATTTTTCTTATCTACCAAAGTATAAAACGAGGTTTTATTTACTTTCTCTAATCTACAAAACATATTTTTGGGATAGAACTTCATTCCATTTTAAGGCCCATTTCTTTTCCTTTTATCGGACTGTTATAAGACCGGCTATGTTGTATGATAGTAAATGTTGGGCAATAAAAGGAAAACAAGAGCACAAGGTTGGGGTAGCAGAAATGAAGATGTTGAGATGGATGTGTGGTCATACAAGAAAAGATAAGATTCGAAATGAAAATATCAGAGCAAGAGTCGGTGTGGCACCTATCCAAGAGAAAATGATTGAAAATTGCTTAAGATGGTTTGGACATGTGCAGAGAATGCCATTGGAAGCCCCGGTGAAGAGGGTGGATCAGACAAGATGGAGTCTCATAAAAAAGAACAAAAGAAGACCAAGAAGAACGCTTAATGAGGTCATTGAACGAGACCTCCTAGTCAACAACATATCTAAGGACTGGGTTGTTGACAGAGCATGATAGCATCATGTGATTCATGTAACCGACTCCATCTAGTGGGATAAGGCTTGTTGTTGTTGTCTTTTCCTTTTATTTTCCCATTCCTTCCAAAATCCTTCCCATTTATCACAAGGGTCCTTACAATATAGATGAAATTCTATAAATCAAGCACCATCTTAAAAGATTAAGACATATCGCATAGGTTCTGATTAGGTGAGCATTACAGATGCATCCTATAGTCACAAAATGTCTACCTAAACTGTAATTCTAGAAGCTGAATAAAAAGACATTACTCAAAGACAAGGTAAACTTCATCATCATCGAAATCTGAATCTCCTTCTGTAAAAGTAAACACCAGAAGGTTAGAAAATTGAAATCAAATGACAGAAACACACAATAGCTAATTTTTAATTCAGTATAAAGCTCAAATATGTGAAAATACCTTCAGGCTCCTCATGTTGGTTAAAATCACCATCACTAAATTTGACACTTTTGGCAGTCAGCCAATTTTTGGCACACATTAGTGCTTCAACCATCTTTGCCGGTAAATTACTTTTATATTCCTCGAGCACCCGCTCTCTAGGTCTGAAGACATGTTCTGACGATGCAGATGCCGGCACAGCTAATACATCACGCGCAATCAGAGAAAGTACTTTATACTTTGGAGCATTATATTTCCACCAAATCAGGATATCAAAAGAAGGGTAATCATCAACTAAATCAGCTGTCAGATACTTCTCCAACTCTGTTTTTGGATCCCAAGTCACTCTCATTTTCTTCAATACTTTCTCCTTCAGATTTGTAAAAACAAAAGATGCTCCAGGTAATACCCCAGCGTCAATTCTACTCGATTCACTGTTATCTTTAGGGTTTTCAGGAGGTTCATTAACAACCAACACAGAATATTCTTCATATAACCGGTACAAAGTGTCTTTGATCTTTTTCTTCATGGCTGCACACACTTCAGCATCAAGATATATATTTTCAAAAACCAAGTTGACATAGTCAAGTTTATATCTAGGATCCAATATCACTGCTATGGCCAACAAGGGGTTCAAGTTGTCTAGTTTCCCCCAATACTCATCATACTTACGTTTGATATTCTTAGCCATATCCCTAATAAGAGGATCTTCATCTGTAATTTTTTGTTGTAACATGTCCTGAACAAGAGTGATGTCATGAAAGCTTTCATTTGGTGTCAAACGTAATGATCGAGAGAGTCTCAAAGTAACATCATAAAAGATCTTTAAAAACTGAACAAACGCACAAACTTTACTCCAATCAGAAGTTGTAGGCGGACCAATTTTATCCACACCTTCCTTAAAGTATGCCTTGTATCCCTTTTCTTCATTTTCCATTCTCTCGAACACTTTCTGAAACTTAACAGCACGTTCCAGCATCATGTAAGTAGAATTCCACCTGGAAACAATGTCCAAGCGCACAAGACTCTTGGACTCAATCTTTTCTTTTTGAACTAACCTTTTGAATGTTTCAAGTCCTTCTGAAGATAGCCTGACATATCGAATAGCATTGCGAATGGCAGAAATAGAGTCACTCAAATCCCTCAACCCATCAGTTACCACCATGTTTAAAATATGAGCATAACATCTCACATGCAGATAGTCTCCATCACACATTAGCCCTTTCCAATCTTTCAAATATCCCTTCAAATGTGTTATTACATCAGAGCTTGCATCATCTACTGTTAATGTAAACGGCTTTTTAATCCCCCATTTCAACAAACACTTCTTAATTGTACTTCCTATGGTGTCACCTTCATGATCTTCAATCATACAGAAGTTAAGCATCCGTCTCTGAAGTCTCCAGTGTTCATCGATGAAATGAGCTGTAAGAGACACATATTTAAAATCATGAACTGATGTCCAAGTTTCTGCAGCGAGGCAAACGCCTGAACATGATTTTTCTAAAAATTCCTTGAGCTTCTTGGATTCTTCACGGAAGAGATTGAAACAATGCTTAGCAATTGTCAGTTCTGATGGAATTGAATTGCACCCAGGGCCTAGACGATCCCAGAACAATTCAAACCCAGACCTATTCGCTAGCCGAAAGGGCATCCCCTCATGAATAACATATTCGGCTAAAGTTCGTTCATATTCTAAAATGTTTTCACCCATGCTCGAATCTGTATCAGAATCAGATGTCGAACCAATGTCATTGGCTGAATCATTGGCATCTTGACAAGAAGCAGAGCTAGGTTCCGGTTGGTATTCCCCTTGAATTTGGTCAACATTGTCATTTGAAGCACCAGTGTCTTGACAAGGAATAGAGCTCTGTTCAGGTTCGGAATGCTCTTCATTTTGTTCGCTACTCCGGTCTGCCATTTCAATTTGAACTGAAACAAGAACATGATTCCTCAAATTAAGTAACTAACGAACATCTTTTGCTCGGCTCTCAATAAAACTCTAGCGACCAAAGCCAAGGTTTACAGACATAATCGAGAGCAAATCAGCCAATGTCAATAAGAAAACAAGAAAATCAGAACAGAATAACAACAAGCATAGAGCTGAGTCTTTGGACCATACGGATTTCTCCTGCAGAGTGAGATAAGATGTTAACTTTCGGGAGAACATAGTTATTAATAGTAATAATGGATGGTAAAATAAAAAAATGCCATAGTAATGCATAGCATTCTTCATTCTAAATAGAGTTCAGCATTTACTATTAAATATAAATCAGAATTGCAGCAATATAATAATTATAAAAGATAAACTCATAGAAGACAAATCCAATCCTTATAATCATTCATAAGTGAAAGTTAAGTTAGCGATCTCTTTCCTTTCAAAACATTATACTTACTTCTCTTGTTAAAATTAAAAATCTTAACACTCACATAAAGAAGAATATATCATTCAGCAATGTATAATAAATAAGAGCAATGTATGATAAATGTTATGCGTATAACAGATTTAATGGATTTACAGAACACAATATCATAAATGTAGTTTATATATTCCGACTTAACTCATGTGCTGATGGTATCAGTTACAAGGCGATGTTAAAATAAATATTTAGAATAATAATCTCCTCTTTAGCCAGCATCTTCCAATTTAAATCAGATTGTGCAATGAAGACATTTTGTTCTGGTGACTGATAAAAGCCAGAAGCGAAGTAATGATGTGTAGACTAAATAAAGACAACGAAACAAGTTTCCTCAAAAGTCACGTTTGGTGCAATAGAAAAGTTCTTAAAGAAAACAAGCAAAGGAATGAGAATGAGAGCGGAAAAGGGAAATAGGCTTTTCATGGAGATAATTTACATGTTTGATATGGATGAAAATATTTAAAAATATTTGAAGATAAAAAATTAAGAAAAATAAGTAAATGACACAAAAGTCCTTAAAGAAACATAATTAGACTTAAATTATGAAGAGTGGGGTTATTTTTATCCTTGAAGTTATAATTTTAGAGGGGAGTGGTATTTTCTTAGTTATATATTTGATGGAAGTGGGCTTTCCAATGGAAGAGCTATTATACCAGGCAAAAGCATGCCCTAAGAAAGGGACAGGGACAGGGACAGGGACCACCGCCAACTAGAGAAAAAAGCGATGATTGAACATGCAGCCAAGTTCTCCAATACCTTCGTAAACCTAAAAGAGACCCTTCCTTAACCAAGTCCTGAACCTAGCCACACAAAGAATCTCCAAATACATAATCCTTTGGAATAGGTATACTAAAGACAATGAAAGAGCCCTAAAAATACAAGCATTATTTTCAAACCAACGTGAATAGGAGTTTAAACAAAAGAAGCAGGCACAGAAAACCCATGAGATATCATTCGTGTGAGCCCGTGGAAAATGCCGTCCACAGCGAAACAGTACCAACGACGACGATGAATTCTAAGGTAAAATTTAGAACATGGAAGCAAGCAAAGGCGAAGTTTTGTATGAAATATGATGGAGGAAGCTACCTCTTGCTCCAAAATGCGAATGAAGCTTCAAGCTTCTCACTCTTCTTATCTTTCAGGCTTTCACTGTGTTAAGGCCCCTGGCATGGCGAGGAATACATAAGGAACGTAAGACTGGCCACGTTTGGGAATTGGGACCGACTCAGGCGTCATATGAGAAAATTAATTTTTGAAGAATTTGTTTCATGACTTAATGTTATCATTCTTTCCACAAATTTATTCTGGTTCTAGTTTTGATTTGAAAGTTTTAAATGATGAGTTTTGATAGGAGCTAAGTTTTTATAAATTATACTATTCCCGGTCCTCAAAATAAAAACTAGTTAATTAATTTAAATAGATTAGAAAAATTAATTATATTAGTTGTTTGTAATAAATAAATACTATCTTTTTCTAAACTATCATTACTAATCAAGTGTCATTTGATGAAATATTCAACATGTGTAAATACTATAAGGACTTCCTTAAAAAAATAGATAAATATGAGAGATAAAATGGATTAGGGTTTTATATTTAAGACCAAATTAAAAGTCAAAATAACTCTTATACTACCTCTGATCTTTAATATAAGACCTTATTTGACTTTTATTTTGGTCCTAAATATAAGACCCCAATCCACTTTCTGTCTCATATTTATATTTTTTTTTCCCAAAGTAGTCTTTCTAGCAATGATAGTTCTAGCCACCATACTTAATTAGTAATAATATTTTAAGAAAGACAACACATATTTATTGCAAATAATTAACTTAATTTTTTTTCTTAATTTTCTCAAATTAGTCAACTAGTTCTTATAATTAAGACCAGATGTAGTATTAAATATCAAAGGTAGTAGCAGCTGATATTTTGTAGAAAAAGAAATTCAGGGGTCAAATCTCATAATTTAAAATTTAAGAGATCAAAATCAAAATAAAAATAAATTTGAGAGACCAAAATTTATATTGACCCATCAATATTTCAAAGACATTTGGATCTAATATAATTCACCATGACATAATAGTTTTTCTCAATTAAACATAAAAGTAATGACAAGAAAAACGATCATGTCATATTAGACATGTCTCCCATTTGAATATTTATTTGTCACATTGTTGCAGCAATCCAACATCGTTTCTTTTCTTGCCGCGACATCGTTTAGCTGCAAAACAGTTCCAATGTTATTACATCATGCCTGTTTCGTAGGTAAACGACGATCATGCGAAATAAAGGCCCGTTTGGTACCATGGAATTGATTTTGATGGAAACTGAAATGGAGATGGAGATGGAGATGGAGATGGAGATGGATATGAGATTTGAAAACATGTTTGGTATAAGTATGGAAATCTAATTTAAATTTTAATTAAAATATATATTAAAATGTGTAAATACTAAAACACCCTCAAGAATTCAAAAAAGGAAAAAGCACCTCCTCCGCCACCTGAATCTAACATCGAGAAGTCTTTGCCCAACATCATCAACAATGTGGCATAAATAATCAATCTACAAGCATCGATTATCACCAGGAAAAAGAAACGCACATGTAGAAGCAAAAATCATGGTTCTTCTGATATGCAAAAATTGATGGAACTTCAACCAAAGAAGTAAAAAATCATTTTTCTTCACAGATGCAAAAATTGATCGAGCTTCGAAACAAACGATTTCTTTAGAACTGATGACCCATGTTTTCAAAGGATAATTTTTCAATGGTTTTGTCCATTTTGTCAGATTTGAAACTATAAAATCAGAGCTTAGTTTGAAGATTAGGCGAACAGAATTTGGGTCAAAGGATAAAGATTTCTAAGAGGTAGTCTCGCTATCGCCTTCAGGCTGTCGGAACAAAGGTCGGTAGTCGCCGGTGATGAGCTTGAAGGTCGTTGGAGCAAAGGTGGGTAGTCGCTGGCGATAAGCTTGAAAGCCTTCGGACTTTCGCTTGCATCTGGTTAAGGAGGGTAAAAACGAAAGTAGGGAGATGGAATTACAAATCTTGGGGTGTGAGGGTGGAGGCCAATTCCACCACTTTTGGTGGAAATGGAATTGGAAAATTTTCCAATTCCATCATACCAAACAAACATCTTGATGGAAATCAATTCCATTTCCATTTCCATACCTCCCAATTCCATCATACCAAACCTGGCATAAAAGATATTGGATCGCCAAAGCCTAAAAGGTATAGATTGGCATCGCTTGAGTCAAATGGAGAGAGTGGAGAGAACGTTTAGCTGAGACGAACAGAGGAAAAAGTGCTTTACAAAATTTGCATTGATATGGGCAATTGCGATGAAACATTTCGAAATTTCAATACGTGATCAGAGAACTAATTTGAAAATATATTTCATGGTCAATTGCTAAAATACTATAAAGCATGATAACTGATTTATAAATATTAAAAAAATTAATTAAGTTAGTTATGTTTAATAAATGAGTATCATTTTCTTTAAAATATTATTATTAATCATGTATATTAAAATAAAAATCATTTAACATATGTAATAACCATAAGTGTGACTTTGAGAAAAAAATGAAATAATATGGGAGAAGTGAATCAGAATCTTATACTCCTCTGATCCTATTTACAGGGTAAAAAAAAAAAGATATTTTTTGTCTCATTTATAAGGCACTGAGAGGATATTTTTTGGTATGGATATACAATTTTATCTTTCATTTGTTATTAAATTGACTTTGTTTACATAAAATATAATGTATATTAAATAAAGATAAAGTTAAAAAGTTATTGGATTTTAAATAAGAGTCGATAAAATTCAAGATTTTATTTAGTCTGTATAAAACATGTTAGAAGTAACTTTTAACTAGAATCAGAAGAGTATTTAAGTCCTAATTGAATTTTCAACCAACTTTTCAAGTAGCAGCTTCCATCAATTGAAAAATTCCATCTTCTCCCACCATTGTCACCCAAAGACCATTGCTAACCGCCGAAGACCCATTGCCAGCCACGGCTTCCAATCGCTAGTCACCGGAGCCGTCATTGATGATGAGTTCATTCTTCCAAGAAAATCAAAGTGGGATTTAAACCCATCACCCTTTAATCTCCAAATGTATTATAACCATTAAAACACCAATTATGCCAAATCATATAATCATATAAACATTCTAAAATTTATAAAATTCACAGTTCATATAATTAATTAATGTTCTTAGAATGTCGACCAAAAGGGCAGGAACAAAATGCCCTGGATGCGCGTGATGCGATTTCCCCTTATTTCACCCAATTCACCATACGCATAATCTATGATTTTTTTTGGGGGGGGGGGGGGGGAAATATCAAATTACATTCTCTTAAAAAGATAAGTACATAGGAATAATCACACATAAATCAACAGCACATATCAGACACTCACGCATAATCTATTCAGAAGCATGGATTTTAGAAGAAAATATGAGAACGTTCTTTAAAGAACGTAATGAGTATCCAACGCACAAGAAAGGATGAAGCTCTAAAAATTTCTCAACGCAAATCTCCATATATAAAATATCTTTGCCATTATCGAATCCTTCTAAGAAAACAGGGCTCAACACACACATATTATGACAACAATGGATCAGCCATCCGACGATTCAAAAACTACCCAAGGGGCACCAAAATAAGAAAACTATATATATAATCATTGTGATCCTAACAATGTGTAAAAAAGTTCATAGCACATTATGCCAACTTTGGGATATAACAACAAACTCCTTCAGGAGTGAAAAAGATAAGCTGGCAACATGAAATACAACGCATCATATCCAAAAGGGAAGGGAGAGGAAAATATAAGGCTCTGACGCAGCAATAGACCCACAGTGCTTCAAACACAAGCAAATAGATGTGACATGGCCAAAAAGCCAAGCACCAGGGCTATTGATAAAAGTCAGGAGGAAAAAAACCTAAGGTCTCTTATGAAACTCATGTTGCATCCTCCCAGCTGACAGCGACGAGCCACAAACATGGAGGAGAGCTTCCCGGTTCACCTCGGGAGAGAGGAAAAAGATGATGTGAAGGGAAGTTATAAGGAAAAACAGGATAGTGTGTGTTTGAATTGACTTATATATTATAACTACATCCACATACAGAGCGCACTTTCACTTCATTACTGTCAGTTGACCCTTTTCTTAAATACTATTGGCGAATTAGGGAGCTGCTGAAGAAGACTATTCTTCAAGGTCAGTTTTGGGTCACTTTCTGGTCCAGAGTGAAGCTTTATCTGCACCAAAGGTCCGAGTGTAAGTTCTCAAAAGATACAGCAAAATCTATACCTATATACTATCTCCAGTCCTTAATATAAAAGCTATTTGACTAATTTGAGTAAATTAAGAAAGTTTGTTAACTTAGTTATTTGTAATAAATAAGTGTTGTCTTCCCTAAAAGTAATTTGTCATAAATAAGTATTATCTTCCCTAAAATATCCTTGCTAATCATGTGTGTTAGCTAGAACTACCATTTGATAGAACCATTAATATGTACAACTACTACAATAACTACTTTAAAAAAAAAAGAAGATAAATATAGGAGGTAAAGTAAACTAGGGTCTTATATTTAGGATCAAAATAAAAGTCAAACTACCTCTTATCTAAAGGATCAGAGCTAGTATCGTATATGAACCCTAACGAGTCCCATTATTCATGCTTTACCTAAGATTTGGTTTGGTTACCATAATATAAAAAATATACCCAAGATTTGGCACACGTCCTCAGATGTTTTACAATCAATACAATTTTGTATCTAATAACTATGTCCATGTAGGTTTCATTTCTAGAATATAACTATCCAATATAAAATGCTTGTAAGAACCCACGCAAATAGAACAACAGGAGCCTGAAGGACAAAAGAAATAGCTGTATATGGCACAAACCTCATATTTTTTGAGAATCAGTGAAAACAATGTCGCAACAACTTGAACAACAAATTTCTGGCCAACGCAGGCACGGGTACCAGATCCAAAAGGAAGAAATGCTGCATTTTCATTTGGATCGTTCAAGAGCAATGAGTCAATACCAGGATTTGTATGGTCTTCAGCAGAACCTGAAAGAATGATTAATATTTGGAGATCAGTGACGGCAAAGCAACAACACAGGTTATGGAAGGATAAGCAACAAGCTAAACATGGACTCCACACTTGCTACACAGCTCCCCAACCAAGTTATATGCAAACTTCATTACAATAACACATTCAGAAGTTGAGTTGCCAGCAAAATTATACCGATTTTGATGTATGACAAAGGGGAAAGAGAGGAAGGGAGAAGAAGATAAGAGAAATCAAGAGAAAAAGTAATAAGAATGGATGGAGAAGGAGAGAAATAAAGAAAGAATGTGACAACAAAATACCCTAATCGAATTCAATTAACAATAAGGTCTAATAAATAAGAAAACCCTGGGGCTATTTATAGAGAACTAAACACAAATAACAACAATTATTTAAACTAATTTAAACCCAAACAAAAAATAACCTAGTTATCCTACTTAAAATAATTTTAAGAAAACCAAACTTTTAAAATAAGATAATCACTCCAACATCAAATAAATCTGACTAGGTTTCCCCCAGATTTTTTTGGTCTCCAAACATAAAAGAGCATGCTTCTAACATAACTTCGAGCAAAAATATGCCAAATAAGTTCAGCCAATGTGCTCAGAAAGAACCAAATCACAAAATTACTCTTATCTTAGAACATGACTGTAGGATCAGGACTTTGAACTACATAAATCTAACAAACTCTTCAAAATTCTCACCAATACAACTTCATACAGAAATCATTAAAATTAAAATTGGATCAGTAACGACTGATGTTGTTGAGTGCATGACAATATTAAAACTGTTGCAAGAGATAAAGGAAAGGAAGAATAGTTTTAGTTTTAAAAAAAAATAGTTTCATATACATATACATTGGCCAGAGCACCATGTGATTGAAATTCAGGATAGCAAATTATCTTGACTTAGATAAGGGGCGAACTGAAAAGAAGAAAAGCCAATATCAAATATGAGGGTAGCATAAAACCTGTGCTTGTAGAATCAAGAACCACCTTAGAGCCCTTTCCAGCATTTGACAAAAATCGGTAAGGATTGAAATCATGGGCGTTACTACCCCAATTGGAGTCATCCATCTGTACCAGCTGAATAGGCACTACCAGTACAGCTCCAGCAGGTATGGTTACCCCAGTTGCAAAGCTCAAGTCTGAGATAGGAGGATGAAAGTTAATAAACAAGATGTGCAGAATTATGAACAGCACCGGATATTTAGTTTCTAACAGATAAATGTGGGCCAAGAGGGATCACATGTGAAGAATAAATATCATATGATGAACAACAAAACGTCAAATCATGCCTGTGCATAAGCAATATTGCTTTGAAACGGAATTAAACATTCTTTCACGTCAATCAGTTATAGAATGTGAAACTTAAAATATCCGATAATTAATTGCATTGCAGCAGAAAACAAATGGGCATGAGTCCGAAATCATTGTTGATGTAGGTATATAAGCAGAGTAACAAAGATAAAGCTTAACATATGACAAACTCTTCTCTCTAAATGTTCAGATGCATGATACTAACTCTCAACTGTTATCATTACCTCAAATGTCACTACTTGACCAAGTAGCAAAGCACATTCACGAATAAGTAAAAGGATATGCATGCATTGACCATACTTAATCAGGAAATGTGCGCAGGTTTAAATTAGATGGTTTTTTCAATCTAAAAACCCCAAGAAAAACATGCCAGGACTAGATATACAGCAAGTAGTGTTTATAACTCATACTTGCTTCTGAGAAGGTAAGCAAGATCTCACCATGTTTCAGAGAACACCTTTGCAGCAAGGGCCCTGTTGGCAGAAGACGTGCAGATTCATAAATTGTAGCCAATAGTAAGGGCATCCTATAAATATCTTCCTGTTCATACTTCGATGGCTTCTTCCCCACAGTGGTGATTTCCGAATAAACCTGAATAAACAAATGCACTAGTTTAACTCCTTTTTCCTTCCTTTTATGACTGAACCTAGAAATTACAAATGATGGCTAACAAGCATCAAGTGAAACAATCATAAAATATAATCTTAGCAGAAAACACAATCAATTTATAAACCAATACAAAAAAGTGGAGGGAGTCGTGTTGTTCACAAGCTTTGAATAGTGTGGCTTATATTGAATACCAGGAAAATGCACGAGACCTACTCTATTGGCAAACAAAGAGCATTCATCCGGATGGGAATAAGAAGAATTCTATGTTCAAGTGCAACTGAGCCAACACTCTGAATTTTCTGAGCAAACCACATAGATCCATCTCAAATCTGGTAAGTCCTTCCAGGGAAGTTAAAATTTGTGAGCTATGTTTGAAGCATCTGAGAGAGCAAATTTGAATTAAAGGATCCATGATCCACAATACAACAAAAACATAAGGTACCAATAGTTACCTTATCCTGTACTTCAGGATGCATGACAAGCATAGTCAATACATTGGAGATTAGCGCTGCTGTAGTTTGACATCCATGAAACATCATACCCATGATATTTCCACAAGGCTCTTCTTTTCCAGTGTCACGATCCCTATGCTGACCTAGGAAACCTGGGCAGTCAACATCAGAATAGCGCTGTGCACCATGAGCTGTCCCCATTTCTGTGTTAGATTTTTCACTATGGCCGTTATGTTCAATGCGATGAAAAAGCTTGCAATTTTTTCTGCAATGTTCAAGGATATCTTGAGTTAAGCATTTCAATTTCGTGCATAGGCATTGATATCTCCAAAATCCACGTTTCCAGAAGGGAGTCACATTATAGGACGCCCAAAAGCAAGCATCTTTAGCAATCTTCATAAGGAGTTCCTCATAAATTGCAGCCTTAGGCCATGCTAAGAAGTCATCTCCAAAGAACATTGATCCCATTATGCTGAAAGCCATATTCTGAGAAACCAATCTACAATCAATATCTCCTCTGATGTTTTCTATTTTATGCATGATGAAGTCAACAACTGTTGAAGGAATCAGGTCAGCATTCTCGAGCAATCTTTCATTCAATTCTGTGGCCAAGAATTCCCTTCTCTTTTGCACCTAGTGATTGAAAATCAAATGCTAAGTTTCTATAATCAGAATGAGAATCGTATATACTTGAAGAATACAGGACTTTTCATTTCTGTAGGAAATATTAGATATAAATAATATTAGAGTGTGAACGAACAAATTGTTTGACAAGATCTCAAATCTGAGAGGCCCCAAATATATTGCAGCTGAGGCACAAATCTACCATTGCATCCAGTGACTCCGGCCATACCAAAATATAGATATCGTGTTTTTATTAACGCAAGTATCATGTAATGAGCAACTACTCCTTCCAATCTTAAATATAAGACCTAACTAACAAATTCATAGAAATTAAACAAATCAATTAAGTTGGTTATTTGCCATTATTATGTAAATAATGTGTATCACTTTTCCTAAAATACCCTCATTTAATAAGGGTATTAAATGTGAGAGACAAAGAGGATAAGAAAAACTATAAAATTAATGAGGGTAACGTGAGAGAAAATATTAAATAAGGGAGATGAAGAAAATGAAGGTCCTATATTTAGAACCAAAACAAATCTTTCAACTAGAAATTATATTTAGAACCTGAGTTATTGGCATCAAAATGGAAAAATGAATGCTCTGTCGTGGTTAAATAATGTATGTACATGATACTAATCCGTGATAAGTTTCATAAATGATTTCAGATTTCTCCAAATAACCGAAGTGAGAAAAAATATTAGGTTACAACTTCAACTTTTGTGAAGATAGTCACAAGCACAGTATATAATATATAAGAATAGGGAAGGAAGACAACAACGAGTAATTAGACGGCTAAGCACCTCTTTAAAGGAAGAAGTAAAGAGACTTGATTGCCCAAAGGCTAGACGAAAAGCTTTTCCAGCGTAAGGTAGCTTATCTTCAGCCTTTGCAAGCATCTCTTGAATTAGCACTGGATCCTTAACCGACACCAGAAGCCGAGTAGGACCTAACCATAGCTTAACAACTGGCCCATACCTTTTATGAGATTCTGACAGCAGATCTGCAAGACAACCAGCAAAATGGAATCTTCAGGCGTTTAAATATTGACAGCATACGCCAATTCTATTGCTATTATGGAAGTCCATGATTATCAACAATTCAACCATTCCCGCATTGAACCATATAATTTCCGTTCACAAGCAAGCATGTAATAAATACTACAGATTCCCCTTCAATCTTTTATAAAATCATTGCTGATTAGAGTCGTGCCACATATAGTTTTCAATCTCAAACTGCTCAGTGTTATGCATCATACAACTTAGTCAATAGACTAGAGGTGCATTCAAACCTTTCATCCCATAGATCCTTCTCAAAAGAATGAATGCACACACATACTGCCAATAAATAAAGACATGGCGAAAAAAAGAATACCATCTATTTCCTGCAACCAATCGTAGGCTGAAAAAAAATTCCATTACAACCTTAGCTCGACAAGAAATCTATTCAACCAATAAAGGTGATCCAGGGAACAGAAGCGTACTTAAAAGTACTCAGATCTTTAATCTAAATGCAAAAAAAAAAAAAAAAAAAAATCTGATATTAGCAACAGAAGTAGACCGCCGACGAGCATCAAGCAAGACCCATATCTATGCACCGCCACCGCCTTATAAACTAACGATAAATTAACCAAATCTAAAATTGACTTAGCAAGAATCCATCAAAGAAATTCAGAAAACAACAATTAATTCTACTGCTCGAAGAAGACAACGGCTGAACTCAACAAATAATGGAAATTTAAAAAAAAATTAAAAAAAACTGACCAGTGAAATTCTCCCGGGAAATAAGCTTGCAGTGTCCGTAAAAGGAAGGACTGGGAATCCCAGGAATGTTCCTAGCTTGATACCACAATCGGAACAACTTGACGACCTTCCTGAGCAAAAGCGCAGTGATGACAATAAGAGCAAGCCACAGAAAAGCATTGACTTCTCGAGTGACCAAGTCCCTGAGGAGCTGAGAAGAGCCGCCATCGCCGCCTCGATTGCAAGAGGAAGACAGAGATTGTAGAAGAAGTACCAAGAAAGTGGAGGGTTGAGAATCACATGTTGAGTTCATTTTCTTCGCATCGGCGAATGGGAAGAGAGAGGTTGATCTCGAGGCTTCGCAAATTGAAACGGTAGCTTCTGAACCCTGTGCTATTCCCTTCTCCTTCCTCTTGTCCTGACTTTTTGTGCTGTCAGTCTCACGGCCTCAATGATGACAGATAAGACGACGACTTCGACTGTCGTTTTGTGCCCGTGATTCCGCGACGGCTCGTTTGGTTGATTAAAGAGTACGGTGATGCGTCTGCCACGCGTTGCTAGGAATTTCGTAACGCCGTGCATATTATTGAAAAAAATTAAAAGCTCGGTGGACTAATGTTGAGAATATTTGAAATTATCTTATCTTATTATCTAAGAAAAAAATTACTATGTAATCATATATATATATATAAGAAATTAGTCACTAAAGATGGCAAAAAAATTCAAAAGTCTCATAAGAAATAATAAATGAATGGCATGCTAATTACATGATTCGGTGTAGAAAAGGGTAACAGATCATGACATATTAACAAATCAAAATTTTTTAGTAATTAAATTATTTATATGAGACTGCATAATAATTTATTCTGTTACTTAATTTCTTTATGTGTGAGTATAAAAATTGGTAAACACAAGAATCAAAATAAGGTAGTTGGCCAAAAAAAAAAAAAGGTAACCCAATGAGAGATATAAGTTAATGGCATGACAAGAGTAAATAAGAAGTGATAATAGGTCATGATATATTGGGGAAAAAAATTTGAGCAATTAAATTATTTATGTAAGACTATATAGTAACTTTTTTATTTTTTATTTGTGAACATGATGATTGTTAAACGTAGTGATTAGACAGGGTAACCCCTGGTTCTCCTGTATGCTTTTCAATATTTTGTTTCGATTTGACAGGAGAATGCTATAACAATTAATTGGAGAGTGAATAATGAATTTTTTTCATATAAAAATTAAAATAAAAAATTACTGAAAAGCCCATCATTATAAAATTATTATTCAAAAATAACTAAAATTTATTTAATGATCTACGTGCTGTGTATCTTCAACTGTGCAACTTTTTTTCCATTACCTATAATTTATCTTCATCTACAAATAAAATAAAAAATATTTGCATATAACTAAAAAAACATTACCTATAATTAAGGAAGAGTTATACCCATTATACTTACTCAAATACTTATTCGTAATCCTAAATTATTAGATAATTTTGGACAAATAAATTTTATAATAAAAATTTTTCTCATTAAAATATTGAAAGATAAAAAAAGATTGAACTTTGTAAAGGTGAAAAGTTGATGGATCCGTCCAGAGTAAAAAGAAGTTAGTTACTGAGAACTGAGAACTGAGAAGAGAAGCAGATGATAGGACTCATAGAGGTCAAAGTAGGAGCATAAAGCCTATAATCTTGATTTCTAGTAATTAATTGGCTATTAAAGAGCTATGCATCCCTGGTTATACTTTAGCCACTATATTTGACTTTTTTGAAGAATATATAGAATCTTCGTCAGGTGGTATTTAAAAATAAAAAAAATTGCCAACTATTAATGTCGATGCTAATTGACGAACATTCAAATGGTTGGAGCAAGAATCTTTCCCCCTCACAGGCATACACGTTTGGTAGGAAAAATTATATCTATAAATACAATGCACGTAAATGTAATGTGTTTGGTTCTAAATATAAAAAGTACTAATCAAGAAGTTTTTTTAAATTTTAAATATAAAATTTTAATTTATTTTTTTGAATTTTATATTTTAAAAATTTTATTGAATAAATGGTTTATTTTAGAAAAAATTAATACACATTTTTTTAGGATTAATAACTAACTCAGCTGATTTATTTAATATATATAAATTAATTATTCAACTTATATATTTAAGATTAAAGGAAGTAGCTTATCTTACAACAGAAGCATTAATATAATTCTATGACATAATATTCTTATATATAATTTAGAAATACTTTGGAATTTATTTTAAAAAAGAAAAGTCAATTCTGGATTTCTGGGGTTTGGGTTGGGCTTGCGTTTGACAACGAAAAATAGTGTACCTAAGGGAGGGGGAAAAAAAGAAGAAGAAGAAGAAGAGACAGAGCATAGAGGCAGGCAAAGACAAACATACCGATATGGAATTTTTTTTTTTTAAAGGAAATATATTGTACAGCCCAATATAAATAATTAATTATTAAAAAGTTCTATAACAAATGAACAGCATGACCATGACAAAATTCGATAAGGAAATGACAATAATAGGTTATGGCGTATTGATAACTCTTTTTTTTTTTTTAATGATTAGATTACTTATGCGGCACAGCAATTTTTCATATTGTTTACATTCATAAAATGAAATGAATTAGAGAGTACATCTACTAAATAAGGAAAGAGTGATGAAACTTAAAAGAGAATATGGCTAGGGACCTACATTTCATAAAATTTTATTTAGGAAATAGGGAAGAGATATTCTTGAGCCAACATGAACCTTATTTTTGTAGGAAGGCACAAAATCTTGGTTTATTCTTTTCATAAGAATAAAACACAATCATTTGTTAACCTTTGAAGTTTTGGATGATATTCAAGTAATCAGGCCTGTTTGATTTCCTTTTTTTATAGTAGTTCTAATTTTTTTAAAAAGAAGAAGAAGAAGAATGCTCAAATATTGGCCTCCAGCTTGAACTATTATATTAAAATGAAACTAAGATTAAAAGTGAGTTAGATTAAAGTAAAAAAAAAATTAAAGGATACAATTGAAATTGAAATTAAAAATTATAGTAAATTTCATGGATCACATTGAAACCAAATAAATTCAGAGAGAAAATAAAGCCTAAAAATCAGTTTCTCTTTTTTTTTAAAAAAAAAAAATAAAGAGTATGAGATCAGATCTTTCTGCAGATAGAACTATATCTTTGACTTGGGCGAAAACTTGAGCCTTACATTTAGAAAAGAGGCCTAAAAGATAAGACTATAAACTGGAATAAAGGAGTAATATAACAGATACGAATCAAATTCTTAATTTACAATTAACATTGAGATCAATCATCAGCATCTAGAAAAATAACATCAAAGCTAATTAATTAGTGGCAACCGAAATGATGATGGACTTTCAATATATGATTTCCCATCATTCTCAATCAAATTACAAACCTTACAAATCCACTACGAATTACATATCTTAATGATTAAAAAAGGAAAAAAAAAACCAAAAAGCATTATCCTTAATTATGAGGATAGAAAATTCTCAAGCTTTTGCTGCCTCGTCAAATGGTTGGTTTTTAATGGGAGATTCAGGCAAAGGCATGCTAAGAACAACACAGGAGTGATTATTCTCAGATTTTGAATCAGCAGTATTATTAATATTATTATTATTTGGAGCTTTTAGAGGCAATATTGGTGGCATTACAATTTCTTGATGTGTCTCTAGCATTATCACTTTGGCCTCCATACTCTCTTTGTGCTTTCCCCATAGGACTGAGTATAACCCTATCACTATCAACATTGAGCCAATCACCCTGCATTGCATATATAATAATATTGCTTTTGTTAAGAGAAGCCAACTATATATATAAGATGTGCTAATTAAATGAGAAATGATCATTTTTATGTGTGTGAATACTGTATGGAAGAAAGTTACAAAAATACCCCCACATCAATATGTAAATCCCAATTCTAGCGTGAAATCTCTAGGGATCAGTTTGTGATTAAAATTTTGTATGAAATTACATGAATGCCCTTAGTTGTCATTGTCTTAGTTGTTGTTTATGATAAGTGAGAGAATGAATTATTACCCTCCGAGATAGATTTGTTCAGAAAGGATGAAAGAACCCATGATGGCGACAATAATCATCATCAAAGGGCTAAAGGCAGTGGCAAAGACAGGTCCTTTCTTCTTGATCACCAAACCTTGAACATAGTATGATATGCTTGATGTCACAATCCCCTATATATTATAATATCATCAGAATCGTCAATTTAATTAATTAATTAATTATGACTTTAATTTGCAATACTAATAAAAAGAAATTAAAAGATAGAGTGAACTTACAGCATAAGCAGCAGCAAGTAAGTTCATATCCCAACCAATTCTCCACACAGAAGGGTTGTGTTCCATCACAAAGGTCACAACAATGGCCTGAAGAGTGCCTATGAAGCACACCAGAGATGTGAGGCTTAGCTGATGGTTCTTGTATGTCTCCAGAACTTTGGCCTGCACAATCATTCATTCATTATTAAACCAATATGTTACACACACGCGCACACACAAAATTTTCAGTCTTTAGTATAAGACCCAGTTAACTAATTTAAAGAGAATAAAGTTACTAAACTACTTTAAAAGTATTTATATTTATCGTTTTTCTCCGAACTAATTTGCTTCATTTATAAATTGATATGTAATATAATGATACACATAAATATTTTAGAAATATCATATAATATAAGATATAATTAAATAATTTAGTAGTTTTTTTAATCTCCTCAAATTAGTCAATTAGGTCTTATATTAAGGACTGGAGGTAATATATATGTGGAACTTGAAGATAGTATAAGAAGTCTTACTTGAAGAACAAAGAGGGAGGCCCAAGCAAGAGTGGCAATGATGAGGAAGATGGAGCCAATTAACCATTCTCTATCAGAAGTAGAGTTTGCAGAAGAAGAAGAAGAGATTGCAGAGGTTTTGTGAGAAAGCTGATTATGAAGATGTTTGGTCCAAACCATATCCACAATAGGCCCTTTGTATAGTGTCATCAACATGGCTCCACCAACTGTCACTAACGTTCCCACTATCTTCGCTTGGCATCTCACCTTTCTCATATTTATCTTTTCCATCCTGCTTATTTATATATTTATAATCAATATTAACCCAAAAAATATGTATAATTAACATTATTAAGAGAAAAAAGTTGAGAATAATGTTTTATATACCTGCATAATGCTGCCATCACAAAAGTCATTGCAGGAAGCATGTTGCTCATTGCACATGAGAAGGTTGGGGATGTAAATTTCAACCCAGCATAGTAGAAATTTTGATCAATCACAGGCCTGTTCCAAATATATCATTATTAAAACCCACTAATTAAATTTCATGTTAATTAATTCCTAATTAGTTTATTGTTATTTTACTCTAGCAGTAGATCAGTTGATTTTGACCAAGA